TGTGTGTGTGTGTGGGGGGGGGTTTGTAAAGACAGACAGGCAGATAAACGTTGGCTGATGGTTGCCAACTCCAGGTTGGAACTCCAGGACATAGGGTTGCCAACTCCAGGTTGGAAACTTCCAGGATATTTTAGGGATGAAGCCTGCTGAGGGTGGGGTCTGAGGAGGAGGAGGAAGAGGGGGACCTCAGACAGATACAATGCCATACTGCCCACACTCCAGACAAGCTGTTGCCAGTCTCCAGGTGACAGCTGGAGAGCTCTTAAAGCTTTGGTGCTAATTCAAAGTGTTGCAATTTATCAACAGAGTAGTGTTTTGGAAAATCTTTAGGAATTGTTTGGTGCATTTACGATGGGGCTCCTGGGGAACTATTGTTGCCAATCTTGGCCCAGCAGCCATCAAACCATTCTCTTCAACCCCCTGCTGTGCAGCTGACTTTCCCCTAGGGTTGCCAATCTCCAGGTGGGAGCTGGAGATCTCCCACTGTTACAATTGATCTGCAGATGACAGAGATCAGCTCCCCTGGAGAAAATGGCTGCTTTGGAGGGTGGACCCTATTACATTATACCTGCTGAGTCCTTCCGCTCCGCCCAATGCTGCCCTCTACAGAATCCACCCCCCAAAACTCCAGGTATTTCCCTCCTTAGAGCTGGCAACCCTACATTCCCCTCAGTGCCTGTTGGTAGGCAACTAAGCTTGGTCCTGTCACCTACTTTGGCCTTTGGGAGAAAACACATTGGGGCCAGTCCTGATAGGGTTGCCAACTCCAGATGGGAAATTCCTGGAGATTTGAGGGATGGAGCCTGAAGAGGGTGAGGTTTGAGGAGGGGTGGGACCTCAGACAGGTACACTGCCATAGACTCCACCCTCCAAACCAGTCAGTCCCTCATAGGGAACCATTGTTGCCAATCTCCAGGTGAGGGCTGGAGAGCACTCAGAATTACAACTGCTCTGCAGAAGGGAGGGCAGAAGTCAGCTGAAGTCAAAGGGGCAGATAATGGTAGGTTGATGGTTAGCTGGGAAGGAGATGGGGTTGCCAACTCCACCCTCCAAACCAGCCATTTTGTCCTGGGTAACAATTGCTGCCAATCTCCAGGTGAGGGCTACAGATCACTCACAATTACAACTGCTCTTCAGGTAGCAGAGATCAGTTCCTCTGGAGAAAACAGTGGACTCTGTCATTATACCCTGCTGAGGTCACCACAGCAAATTGACACTGCTTGCCCAAAGCCAGAGCACTCCCCCAGAGCCTCTTTCTAGATCTCGTTGTATTGTTTTCACAACGGGCTTTACTGCTAGTCTCTTAATATATACCAATGTTTGAGGACTATATTCGTAATCTGCATTGCTAAAGGGGTATAGTCCAATGCCCCCCAAATACCTCCTTTTCTTTTATTCTTCCTATTTTTTATCCAATAGAGTTTCCCTACTAACACTTTTCGCTCTTGAAGACACACTACGAATAATTGACTCTGGGAATCCCCTATTTCTAAGTTGCCAACTCAGTTTCTAACACTCCTTAATATAATCAGTCCCTAGCTGAATTTCTTTTAATTCTTAAAAATTGTCCAAAAGGGAAGTTATATTTAATACTAACCTGATACCCGTGCTTCGCTACGGTATTTAAGTTCCATAAATACTGATGATGTGAAATTTTAAATGTAACATTTGTTGTAGGAATTCTAAAGGAGAAGATTGTAGTGTAAAAAATGAAGTGAGACATACAAACTCTTTTTTTTCTCTACGGAAGGATCTCACTGT